TGTTAATCAACTACTTGTTTAAGAATATTTGCCATGTTGTCACTAGTTGAATATCATCCTTTCTGTTCAGACTTTTCTTGTTTGCCCATATATACGGCACTTCTGCTATCAATCTTTCTTTGTGAGTGTTAAAACCATTCTCAAGTATTTTGGTCGCTTAAAAGTTGATTTTTTACCCTATTTCTAACGCATGTAACGCTATTGCCAACCTATTCTCAAGTTTCTTTAAATCAACCGAGGATTTGGGAACATACTTCAGACATTGTTTGTGTTTCTTCAACCTCACTATCAGCTGTCTAAATGTTACTCCAATCACGACAGTTGGTCTCATAATCAACAATCTGTTGTTCTTCCTTTAGAAACCTATCCTTAACTTCCACTAATGGTGTCACTAGCGAGGAACTATGTTCTCATATTATGTTTGTTAAGGAAAGCTTAATTTCTTCTGATGTTTCTCTACGATATAAGATGAACACGGTGGTCTTCAATTATTTCGGTATTCACTCTAATTTAGCTTTACTTTCGTTTTTAATAATCTTTTTTAAAAGTCTCATTAGGCTGATTGTTCACCCTGAGTGTAGACAATATTCCATTCATCTCAGCCTGTTGGTCTTCCTTCTCGGCATTGAGATGAATACTCCTGTCAATGAGATTTTTCACAACTGTGACTTTCGTACAACAAGCATGAACGGAACCATAATCTGAGTATCTATCAGAATGTGTCGATTACCTGAATACACTAATTTTTAACCTATTATTATGTTTTATTATTTATTTATTTTAACACATAAGTATAGGTACAGGGAGGCACCAAATACATATGCGCCACACAAATCTCAATTGATTTGTGTGAGGGCTGTGATACTGCTCGGGTGCCCAAACCGAAGCAGGTGGTTTTCTTAGGGGGCCACACCCCGAGCCTTTGACCTGAACGTCTGACCCACAAGGCAGTGGAGCATTGTGAGGAGATGCAGTCCCATGGTAGCCGGTGACCAACGATTGGTTCATACGCCATTTGTTCCTTCAGGATACTGGAGCTAGCCCATGTGCACCATTGGTTTGGGGTCCGGTTAAAGCGCCGGACATTCGCTTTTCGTCCTCTGAATTTCGTAAACAACACCGCCGCCACGAGAAGGCAGTGAGTAGGACTTCCCTGACAGAGGCTATATACGCATGGCCATGTGAGAGCATTTCGAGAGGGAGAGCGGACTCTCCCCACTCTCGGCCGTACCAGGGCATTTGGGGGCCATTATTATGTCTACTATTAACCAAACAATCGAGAAACGCTAGTTTACTGCCAATGGACTCTATCTTCTTGGTTAGCTTAATGCTATCCGAAATGTTGCTTACATCTTCAAACATTTCTTCTAAACGAATTCGTTTAATGATAATAAAAATGTCATATATATACCGTAACTGTAACTTATAATTAGTTTAATGATCTATGAAGACAAATTCAGACTTTTTGATGAAAATCACCTTTTAGTGGAATCATTGGTGTAGAGGTTAAGCGTTCGCTGGCATGACCGATGGGTTCTAGGTTCGAATCTTGCAAGACGGGATCGTAGATTAGAACTGCTGTGGCGTTCCACAATAGGAAGTGATGGTCGTCCAGTGCTTAAAGGTTTTCCATGGCGATTTAGCTTTAATTGACTCATGATCTCAATTACTAAAACTACTATAATATCCACAAAAACCCTTACTGATATAAATCAATTTATACAAATAATATAATTGATTAATGAAAAGTGAATGAATAAGGAAATAGTTATACGTTTTAAGGCTAAACAACTTTAAGAAAGGTCATTAAAACTCTTCACTAGGATAAATATTTACACATGTTCATTAATTTTAGATAGATGTGTATAGGTAGTGAACTTGATTAATAGTATATGCTACTTGTAAAACAATTGAATGAGCACAATGGTAAATTTTTTAATTAAAAGTAGAACTTTTGCAAATCAAGTGGAAAGCCATTTGAATTTATATTTTGAAGAATATTAAATGTAACATTGCACAAGCAAGTGGCTATCAGGACTCTAATTAAGTGGACTCATCAGTTGGATTTACCTGCATCCCATAGTTTATGTTCATTCTGGGACTCCAGGACTCAGTAGCTGAGTGCATAACGTGATGTCGTCTTTAAGCGAACGGTACTGTGTTCGAGTCTCTGAGTGAGCATCAACTCCTGGATGCAGGTACATCCAACTGATGAGTCTCAAATAAAACGAAATGCGTGTCAAACTAAATTTCACTACTAGCCACTATCCATCCGAGCTTATAGACTTAATCGTTGCTAGGCTTATAGATATTGGGTTTGATTATTAGTGATGAGTGATAAAGGCATACTCTTAAATTGTTCATAAACTAAGACGGAATATTATACACGGTTTGGGGTTGATTATTGCTACAACAAATGGTTAGGAATTAACAACTTCTAAATAATAAGTTCATGCACTTCTAACGAAGTAAATTTCATTTGGATTTGGCAGGTTAGAGGATGTAGCAATGGAGTTAGAAGCATACAGTATTGGGTTTGAGTTACAGTATTAGCATTACTATTGTGGTATAAATATATTCAGGTGACGAATTCTGAATAAGATGATACACATATTATGGATAATATAAGACAAAATACTCTCACACTGCTCTTTGACTGCTTTTGACTCTCTCTTCGACTCTCAAATTAATATGAATCTATGATGAACGGAAATTATATGCAATAATTTCATTGGATTGTTATGTTTTTAACAGTTCAATCTAACATGCTTCAAATATACATGTACTTTTTTCATCAAAAAGATATCTCTAATCTGTTCGGAATGAATTCGTAGAAAACATTGGACAACTTCTCTTGACCACTGTAACTTTGAGCCTGTTGATCACCAACGCTGGTGATCTCTGTCGAATGATTAAGGGCCTACTCGATGTGACGAGCCATCTAACTTCGGGTTCACACCTCGCGATTAGCATCTAATGTGGCTTATCCCTTCAACGTATCAAAGTACTATGGCTGATTTGAAGACCGTATAATACAAAAGACGTTTTCGTGGAAATATATTACTAAGAATGAGTACAGAGAAGATAGTGACACCACTACCGCATGGGCCAGTCTATGGCATACGATTAACTGATGCGCGTTGTTTGTCCTCGACTTTGATAGGGATCAATGATCTGTTCGAGATTCAGTGACCCAAATGCTGGATGATTCGGTTACATAAAATGTCGTAACGACAACAATGCACATCTTTACATTTATTTCACTTACATGGGAAGAAAACATGAATAACTAACATCTTTTCCTAGATATACTGGTTAGTAGGAGGAGCTGATTTCATCAAACGGCCCTTCTATAGAAAGCTAACATGGACAAGGCAGTATCTTAGTTTCCATAGTCATTGTTCAATTCAGTACAAAGGTGAATTAATAAAGGGCTTATTCAATAGGACCAATCGAATTTGCATAGCCATGTAAGCTACTTTGCTTTCTCATAAAATGTCAATCGACCATTAGTCTGAAATAATTTAGTGACTAGGTCAATTGAGTAACCTCATTTGGTAATAAGAGTCTCGTATCAATTTATGGTGCAATATTTTCAGTCATTCTATAGACATATATTTTCCACATAAATACGAATGTACAGCTTAAGTAAATAATTTCGTCGAAAAGAAAATTTTATTCGCTGAATTTTCTTTATTTTTACTCAATGACACAAAGCGTTATTTTAATTAAAAAAATGTAATTGGGATTATGAAGCAATCAATGTTAGACAACCATTGAAAAACTTGAATCACTAGACGGCGGCGTTATTCTAGTATGGGACTCCTCAGCAGTTCACATGCGGATCTCGCGCGCAGGACTTCAACTTAACATTTTCGATCGCGCGCGAATACTTAACCTCTAGACCACTGAGACGGGATCCAACAGTGTTAATGTATAACTTTAATAAAGCCAAGAAATTTCGTGACTGTCTTCCATTGTGTAAGGTAGATAACTGCATTACATTCGACATGGATTAGCTCCAATGGCCATGGCTTCTCATTGGAACTCCGAGAATTCCTTAGTAAGCACATGGTAATTATCAGTATACGGTTGTGGAGATCCGAATCACTAGACAACCGTTTCATCCTAATATGAGACTCCTCAACCGAACACATAATTGATTTTATGACCATATTAAATGTAAAGTTGTTTTCCCGAAAAATCTTTATATATATATATATATATATATATATATATATATATATATATGTGAATTTTAAAAGTTGAGACCAATTGAACCTAAACCACCATGGAAAACCGGGAAGCATTGGTGAATGTGTCACTCAATTTCGTAGATTAGATGAAGTTACACATTAAAATCGTTAGATACCAGCTCAATGGTTTAGAGGTTAGACGTTCACGTCTTGGGTTCAAATTTCGTAAGGCTTGATCGTGGAGGCGCGCTACTGAAGAGTCCCAAACCAGGACAAAACAATCATCTATTGCTTCCAGGTTTTCCATGCTGGTCTAACTTCAAAATGACTCATAATCTCAACGATATGAATTAACAGATATTAAATGATAAGAATAAATTTGTCTAGTCAATCTTATTTATTTAATAAATAAGATAAATATTTTATTAACCAATCAAAAAATGATCTCATATAAATAATTTATTTTTGTATTTTTCAATAGCCTATTAAAAAATAGATTTAATCAGATTGTACATAAATCTTAACTATGAACAATTTAAATATTTTATATTGGTAATAATGATAATAAAAACAATCTATTCCATATACTTATCATTATCAATATCATCACTGTCAACATTACCATCAACATCATCATCATTAATTGAAGTGTAATACATATTTCACATATTAGAATAACTATTAACTAAAAGTTAATCGAATTGTATTAGTCTACTTATATTTGTAAAAAATACTAGTAGTATCATCTATTCATAAAGTTTATTATTATTATTATTATTTACAATAATTATTATAAGAATTCCAATGAATACATCATCAAAATCAGATAATTTTCTTGCACAATTTAAAGATATTAATTCAAATTCATTAAAATATTTTACTGCTGCACAATTTGTTGAAGTATGGAATCATTATGATACTGATGGTAAGTTATATTTTATTATAATAATTAAGATCATAAATCATTCGAAGCTAGACTACCATAGAGAAATTAGAAGGACTGGACAGCCGCTTCATCATATTGTGAAACTCCTCAACAGTGCGAATCCATAACCCAACCTCTTAGGATTCGAAACCAGGATTTATCAGACTCACACTAAAAGTTAAGTGTTGAAATTTTGTGCGGCGAGATCGTAGATTCGTTCGACAATATGTCGAAATGGCCGTACAGTACTTCCAGGTTTTTCATAGTGATCTATCTTTAAGTGACTCATAATCTCAACTATTGAAATTACTATAATCTCTACAAAACCTCTTCTGATATATTTTATGATTTAATACATAATGTATACTATTATTATTATTAATAATAACTTTACTCACCACCATCACCATTGTGTTCAGTGAGCTGATATCTCACAACAATATTATATTTTTGGTATAATATAGAATTCTCAGCACAAAGTATTTCAACAAGTTTCCGTTTCTTACTTCTTGATTAAACTTGACGATAAGTATTGAATGGTCATCAGTTAGAAGTTACCAGTTCAGTGAATTGATATCTAAATAATATACATTGCATATTTTCATTGCATATTACCAGCAACCATAATGTCTCTGATTGTGAACTTTTTGTAACTTACAACGTAAAGTTGTACACTTTTCAGAAACTCACCTGAATAGATTATGCAATTAATTGATATAACGATGTGTTAAAACAAGCGAAAGACAACTTGTTGAAATATCTAGATGTCAGTAGCAGGTATCCCGGATATTCAAGCAAGCTGCAAATAACAAAAAAATTTTTTTTCTCTAAAATATGAACATTTAGGATACTTGAATATATCACAAATATAATATAACATTGAGTGAATTTAATCAAAATAAAATTTTTCAGGAAACTTACCTACTTAAGACGCCCACCAGCACTCTTCATCTAACCCTGTTCTGGGCAATGCTTTCTAGCTCTTTCCAGTTGTTATTTATCCTTTTCATATCTAATTCTACTTCCTGATGTAATGTGTTCTTCGGCATTCCTCTTTTCAAGCTTTCCTTCAGGATTGCAATTTTTGGCTCGCTTCGGGATGCAGTTTGGTGATTTCCGTAATGTATTTCCTATCCATTTTCATCGTCTTTTCCTAATTTCCTCTTCATATCGAAGTTGATTTGTTCTCTCCCACAGTAGACTGTTGCTAATGGTATCCGGACAATGGATGTTGAGTATCTTGAGTAGACAACTATTTATGAATAATTGTACTTTTTCGATGATGTTTGTAGTATTTCAGAATTTAAAAAGTATATAATCTTTATTTCATTTTATCATAGGATTATCCCATAATATACACTGATTATCATACAAATGCTTCAGTTCATGATAAGAAAGCTATTTGTTATTTCTTATCTTTCTTCATTCTTAACTGAATATGAACTCGCTTCAATAAACTTAACAGTATTACTTAATTACGTGGAGTAATAAGCTAATCGAATAACTAGTAATATGAAAGACTTTAAGAACACGTAGTGTTTTAGTCTAATATTGCTAAACAGAAGTTTCCGAATCATATATATATATATATATATATATATATATATATATATATATATATATATATAACCAGGACAGAATTCTATAGAGAATTCTAATGGGCGACCTATGATCCTTCATGAAGGGTAATAGTTGTAAGTATATATAAGTGCTTACCACCAGTCACTCAGGTTGTGTTTTTATTTCTCTACCTGATTTGATTGTCTTTAAGGAAGCCACAAATTTTCATCGATTGATACTTCAATTTTACCTTTATTCTTAGGAAAGTAGCTTCTACTTTATAATTGTACTAATTATTACATTTCGTTATGAATATATGATTTTTTTTTTAAAGAACTGTCTGTGCGTAAAATATTAGATTACACTGTACTCTTAAATGTTGATTATTTACTGTTAAAATACCAAATTATTTTTTTAGTGACCAGTGGAGTTCAACTAGGTCTGTTGTGATATATTAACTGACTAAACACAAAGATGAACGTGAATTGGTTGAAGTTAGAAATTAACACCGTTGGATGCTGGCCGGCTCAGTGGTGTAGAGGTTAAGCGTTCGTTTGCGAGACCGATAGGTCCTGGGTTGAAATCTCGCGGGGCAGGATCGTGGATGCTCACTGCCGAAGAATCCCACTGCCGTCCAGTGCTTCCAGGTTTTCCATGGTAGTCTATCTTCAATTGACCCATGAATTACTAAAATTACTAAAATCTCCATAAAACCCCTTCTGATAATAATCATCTGCTCACTAAGGACTGGCTTCAAGAGGTATTTCCCGGAGTTCTAGTGAGAAGAACTGACCAGTAGAATTCAACCGGGTCTATTGTAAGATAATAACTCACTGAAGACAATCATAGAGGGTGGCTCAATTTCGTGAATTGGTTGAAGTTAGACATTAAAGCAGTTGGATACTGGTCGACACTATGTTCTAGAAATTAAGCATTCACGCGTGAGACCGATAAGTTTTGAGTTCGAACCCCGCATGTGAGATCGTGGATGTGTGCTGTTGAAGAGTCCTAACACTAGGACGAAACGACCGTCCAGTGCTTTCATGTTTTTATGGTAATCTAGCTATAATTGACTCATGAATTCAACTTTTTTAAAAATAATCTCTGAACAAGTTATTAGGTAAACTATTGATTTGATTAGAGCATTAAAGTATAAAGAAAAAACTATATATATAGATAGATAGATAGATTGATAAAATCCATGTAATCCAATATGACAGGAACTGAGAACATGAAATAAAAAATAATCGATCAATTTATATCGGTCATTTTATCACTATGATTATAGTTATAAATAGTAATATGTTTTATGGATATCATGTTGTGTTTTTTTTTGTTCCCATAAAATTTAGTTCTATTCACAAATATTGAACAAAACGTGAATAACATTGTTTAAAGATTAAGATTAGATATTTTGTTGATTGTGTTTTTTTCTCTCAGATACATTTAAGAGAGTAATTCTAGTTAGTTTGGAGTATTAATATATATGTATTAATTGAGAAGTGAACTGTTGAAGATGTCATAGATATTTGTGATTGAATCGTGTTCACCTAGTGAAATTAAAAGTCAGGAGCGAGGGGGTTCGAAGAGATATATGATATATCGAACAATGACTGATCTAAACTGGCTATCGGTTGTAGAAGAATTTGAGCAAGGTGTAACCCCTTGTCATCTGGTGCGGATGTTTGACTGAGCGCCTTCAGTTAGATGAATCCATTAAAACTAATGTTGTTATCATCAAAGGTCAAAGACTTACAGAACTGTTGGTTTTGGGGATTTATTGACCGCTACATTTTTTTAAAAGTATAATTACGACGAGGTTGAAATCGAGATTATTAACGTAGTGTTAGAAGGATTGTTCCAAAACATTTTGAATTGGTTAATGATATAATAAGACAAAAAATGTTTTAAGAATATTTGGAGATAGTGGAATTAAAAAAAAAGACTATCAATGAACTCATTGAATTATGATCTTTATTGAATGTAGAATGAAAACAAATGATGGTGTCCTACGCTGTGTGGATGTTAGCATTGCCGCTGAAGTTTATCCACTAACTCGTTTTGAATACAAATGATTGTTATAGAAAAAATAAGAAATGTGATTAGCAGTGAAATACAGGATTGTTTGGGATGTGTCAGCTGTATTAAAAGTATGTTCTAGATTCCACTGCTAGCTTTACTCCATCTATCCTATACGAACTTGTGTCATTTTAACTAATATTGAGGCAATCCTCACAGGATCCCCATATGTCAACAACGGAATGATCCGAAGCACATCAAATTTTAATAAATAATTTTGTTATATTTTTGTAGTCTTTATGGCTTATGTAAATCTTAATATATCACCAACCCCCTGTATTCAGTATATGGTGAGAAATTAAACCAAAGAAATTACTTTGTCTTTTAGGATGTGAATTCTTTGAAATAAATTAGGCAAAAAATGAAGACACCTTCAAGTAGGAAGCTGAAACATTATATTTATACTTCGAAGGAGCGTATGGTTAACCTTGGCTTAATGATAATTTATGTTCTAGTAAATGGGTGTTTTCAAAACAATGTATACCAAACTTATTCAGTTAAATAAACTCAGTTGTATCAAATGTTTACAATTCAGGGACAACATACGCTATAGCTATTGAAAAGTTGATAGTGTAATGAATGAACACTCAGCATACATTACAGAAGTAGTAGACAGAAAACTTTGGAACTAGTTTTCGTGCTAATTGTCATTTGTCAGTAGGGTGTAGCCATAATCTTGGGTGAATTAATGATACCTATAAGATTAAAATCGACTTTATCGAGATACACATCTTTGAAAGGAATCATGTTTTAAAATGGTCCAACGTTTGCTATTGGTTGCCCTCAACCATCTATACTACATCAATAGACTAGAAAGTTGAAACTTTTTATTTCAGAAAATTATTACTTTATAGTACATTTATTTCTATAGTTGAGATCATGAGTCAATTGAAGATAGACCACCATGGAAAACCTGGAAGTACTGGACGGCCGTTTCGCCCTATTGTGGGACTCCTTAGCAATGCGCATCCACGATCCCTCCACGAGGGATTAGAACCTAGGATCTATTAGTCTCGCGCACGGGCGATTAACCACTAGACCACTGAGCCGGCCGGCATGTCTAACTTCAACTAATCCACGAAATTGAGCGACTAAAATCTCCACAAAACCCCTTCTGATACGAATCAACATATGCTCACCAGTGACTGGCTTCAAGAGGTATTTCTTGGAGTTCTAGTGAGAAGCAGTGACCAGTGGAGTTCAACCGGGTCTGATATGAGATATTAACTTACATTTATCTCTGTTTAACCGAATTAGTGTTTTTGATATAATCTTAACAACAATTAGATCTTACGAAAGTGTATGATTTACAGATTGTATGATTTCTAATACATGTTGCATTTACTCAGTGCTAAAATAGA